ATATTCCATTGATTCATCACAAATTCTCTTTGAATCTTCCACAGAAGTATTTTTTGTGAAGATGTACAAAAGGCGCCCCTAGCAGAATTGAACATTTTTTTCAAAATTAGACTAAGTAATGCAAATCACGAATATTTAAAAAAGAATTATTAAATTTTATAAGTTAATAGGGGATCCAGTTTTCTGTATAAATTCATTGTAAATCGATCCCCCTCTATTCAAGTCCAAACAAAAAAAAAGTTAATCAGTTGTCTACCTATGTAAATTAACTGCAAATCGATCTCCCGACGTAAGCCAAAACAAATATACTCATATGACATGATTTAATTTTTTTATTTTTTTTACTTAGTAAAATGGAGTGCTTACTTGACAAGAATATATGAAAAAAATATAGATTATGAATTTCAATTTTTTTTATTCATTTTACTTTTATTTTATTTTTTTTTTATATTTCAAGAAATCATGTTTTATGTGTATATTTGTTTTGGCTTCCGTAGATCAATTTGCAAATAATTTACATAGCGAACTGGATTCCTCCCATTAAGTTTTAAAGAATTTAATAAAACAAAATAAAAAATGATATTCGTGATTTTGAATGTTTTATCTATAGTAATATGAAAAACAAATTTGAAAAAAATAATCATTTTTGGTTGCAGTGTTTACTGTATACAACACCGAACTTTTTTCTTCTTAGTAGAATCTATTAGCATTGAGATGTTGAAGACACACGTGGATCTGCCTATGATTTTCATATTTTAAATTCTTCTCGTCCAGAAGAGAAAAACAAGTAATTAAATGCTCATTCCTCATTAACTTGATGTGGAACTGATTTTTTATCTTCGAAATTTTACGTAGGCCTTTTAAACAACGTTGTCTTGGTGATGAATTGCACAAGCAAACGGTGCTTGTGATGGTTTCCTGAATACTACTACTTCTTCTGTGTGCCATGCCCATTCAGGACGTTGATGATCATGACTCTCCACAACTTCTCTTTTTTGTAGCTCTTAGCAAATTTTGACTCTTTGCTATCACACCTAAATCCTGTTCCACCATCCATTTACTCAAGCTCGTTAAATAACCTATAAGTTGTTTTCTACTGTTCCTCTTGCCTTCAATCTGTCCTGTGAGCATCTAATTTTCCAAGCCTTCTTTCTTCCTTATGTTCTCTAGAAATTTAGACTGTTTCTTCCTGATGTTATGTATAAGTCTCCTTTTTGTTTCCATTTTCTCTACAACTTCGTCGTTGCTCACGTGTTCAGTCAATAGTATGCTCAACATCCTTCTGTAGAACTGCATTTCTGTTGCTTCAATTCTCTTCGTCATCTGTGAAGAGATTATCCGGTATTCATTGCCTTATGGAAGGACTGATATTATGTAACAGTTCAGTACTCTTTTCTTTGGTTCTAACGAAAATTTCCTGTTTCTTAATACTTTGCTTAGCTTTGGAAATACTTAATTCTTTGCTTAGCTTTCAATATCCTAATGCGCTTTCGGGTTGCAGTGTCCCAGAGATTTAAATTGTTTCATTTTATCATCTCCAATTTGTAATTTCCATCTTGGATTATCCCTTTTGCTGACAAACATAAAGAATCTATTCCCAATGAGCCCACAAGTTTTGTGTGTGTAAATGCATTGATTACTATTCTACTGTAGAAAAATATTGTAAATAATTTTGCAATAGAAATGTTTTTCAAACTTTTAATATAGAAGCGCAAATTCAGGAAGAAAGTTACTTTTACGGACAGAGACGCAACTGAGGGAAATAAATACTGCCGTGTTCCCGGTCGCGGGGAACAGGTGTCCGAGGCGGCATCTCCCCAATTGCAGTAAACAGTGGGGAGTTGGTTGCGATATCTGGGTAATTTTTGTCCTTGGCTCAGGTGTACGATAAACCCCGTCCTGGGTAAGACGTTAAACTACGTCCAGCAGCAAGGCCTCCGATCAGGAGGTTTTGAGGAGCGTGGAACCACTTCTTGCTGGTGTTCCCAGGTCCACCCTGACCCGGGGTGATAGCACCTGTTAGGGTCCCAGCTATGGGAAAATAGTTAACTATTACCAGCAATACTTTTTTGAAACAATTATTACCAGCAATACAATTTTGAAGGAAATATATCACCAGAAACATATTTTTGAAAAAACAAAATATTACCTGCAAGAAAAGGTTGATATGCTATAAAACAAAATTAACCAAACCAATCTAAACCAAAGAATACATACTCTATTCGTACGAATCTATCCTAAAAATCTTGTCGGCATTAAATAACCCATTGAGGTTGATATGCCGTTAAACAAAATAAACCAAACCAAAACGATAAACCCAAAATTGTGTCATATCCCTTCTCAGTGGGTAGATCAGGGTAAATACCATTCTAAATGTCAAATCCTCTTCACTGAAAGTACTAACCTATTTTTTTTTTTATATTTGAGGTGAAGTGTGCGTAACGCGGTTCGTTTATTCTATGAATAATTACTGCCATTGCAAAGTAGTTATTTTCAAAGGAGAAAATGGGACAGCATAATTATGCATATATTTTGAGTAGAAATATCAACTGAACGTTTCTGGTCAATACCTAAATGTTTGACTGCTTGAGAATATCAGATGCTGTAAGCGTGGATATACGGGTGGTGTAATGGGTAATGGATTGTTAATCGGTGAGTCGAGTTCAAATCCCAGTTAGATTCGTTATATTAACTTATGGGCAAAATACCCTTGGGAAAGGTATGAATCCAACTCTTCCCCCGACCCCGATAAGGATCATATAGTAAGAATTTAACCACAAAATCTTACAATCTAAAAAAAGGATTTTCTGGCGTTAAATGACCTGCAAAATCCGAAGAAAAAAAATAAGTCAATAAAAAAACTTAAAGTTGTCAAAGATAACTATTTTTTAGGTATTCTGACTATTTTTAGTAATACTATAGTTTACAAATCTCTGAATCGTATTAGTTTCTTTCTCATGTTCACGTTGGTATATACTCGACTCTCCCGTCGAATTCGACGTATGAGGGTCAAGCAGATCAGTTCCCAGGAAACCGACAGCTCGACAACAGCACATTAGATTTTATTATAGTGGTGAAGGTTTCGTGCAGGACCATCCACACTTTTGAAGGGTTGAATACAGAGACCTGGTGCACTACGTACCACAAGGTCCCCAAACAACCCCCCGCTCAGGTTTTGAATTCAGAGTTGTCCTTCTCCTAGACCAGTTGCCATCCAAGGCTATAGAACCCAGTCTGTCCTGCTATTTACCCACACCTGGAGAGAGAAGAGGATTCACACTTTAGCACGTAAGTGAATGTAATGGACTCGATTCGTTGATATATACACACACACACACACACACACACACACACACACACACACACACACACACACATATATATATATATATATATATATATACACACTCATATATATATATATATATATATATTTCATTTTCAGTTTATCCATCATAAAATTCTATATCTATCTATCTATCTATCTATCTATCTATTTATCTATCTATCTATATATATATATATATATATATATATATATATATGTATGTATGTATAATTACTTACACATTGCGCTTCATTTTTACTTATTTTATTCATCATACAATATTGATTTCTATGTACACACACTCTCCTACATTGAACACTCTTCCAAATGTAAGAAATTATACACAATATACACAGACATGGAAAGATAAAATCACTTGCTAACCGGATCTTAATTTTCTAAAATTATGGCTTGGAAATTCTAATGATCTTTTATATCCTAAAATTTCGAAGGATGAATGATATATATATACACGCACACACACACACACAGACGCACACACACACACACACATATATACACGTATATATTCACACATATATATACACACACACACACACACATATATATATACATATATATATATATACACATAAAAACACACACATATATATACACACGCACATATACATATATATATATATATATATATATATACACACGTATGTGTGTAGTTATATAGGTGATTCTCTTGTGTAAACAGATTCTCAGTGACTATTTGACTGTTTTATCCTTTTTGACAATCTCTTTGGCAATCTATCTAGCAAGCTAACGAGATTTACATAGGTGTTTTAACTAGAAAACTAATGAAAGTTAAGTTTTCATCAAACGCTAGTCACCCCAGCAATAGAAGCTTGTTTGTAATACGAGTGGACTATTGTTTTAGTTAGGTTTTAATGGGAGTGTGTATTTGAGTCGGTTAGGGGAAAACAATGACCAACTGCCTCCGACTTCTTGCTTGTTTCTTCTTTCATTTCTTCGATGACCAAGCAATACTGATTAAACGTAAGATTAAGCTAATCTTTCTCTTTTCTTAGCTGGTCACTTTCAAAAGAAAAAGCCTGGATCGGTTCCAATTAAGTGGACATATGCAATTTCACGCGCACCTGAACTTAGATTCAATAATCTGCTACACAAGAATGTATGTGTTTAAGTATATACACGCATCAGTATATTTACGAAGACATGCTTTGATGCCCCATATATACACACACACATATATATATATATATATATACATACATACATACATATATATATATATATATATATATATATATATATATATATATATATATATATCGATAGAAAAACAACGCAAAGTAATATGTGCGTACACATAAATATAAATTTGCGTATGGTATATACGTGTTGAGTGTGATTCTATGGAGCTGTATGTGAACTGAATCATATGAAACGAATTCCGTACATATGAGGGAGTGATGAAAAGATCTCAGCCCAACGAAGAAAGGATTTAAAAAAAATACATTCTCATGTTTGGTCATTTGGGAAATGGTTCTTAAAATTTTCAACTCTCCTCCGACGCTTGAAGAAATTTGATCAAATATGGAAATTGTTTATAACTATCTATGAACTTCCACCAACTAAATATTGTATTATTGCTGATAATCATATATTTTTATAATTTTTAATTTATTTATTTATGCCTACTGCCATATTACGTTGAAATATCGGTTCCCGTACGATCACCGAAGTTAAGTTAACGTCGAACCTGGTCAGTACCTAAATGGGCGACCGCTTGGGAATGTCAGGTGTTAT